CGGCCGCCCAGTAATCCTCGAGGAGCGTGGGGTAGACGCGGGCGCCGTCGCAGGCCTCGGCGCGGACGGCGAGGTCTCGGAGCGCGTCGACGAGGCCGGCGCGCTTCGCGACCGCGAGCAGGTCGCGCTCCGTCGCCCGCGCGATCCCCCGCGCGGCCTCGAGCGCGGGCAGGAGCGCGTCGGCGACGGGCGGGCGGAGCGGCGGCGGCGCGGCGGCGATGACCTCGCAGGCGAGCGCGACGGCGTCGCCGCCGCTGCCGCCGAGGCGCAGCAGGCCGTCGCGGAGGCACTCGCGCAGGAGCTCCGCGGCGTCCCTCGACTTCTTGACGACGAGCGTCGCGACGTGTGCGGCGGCGCCCGCCGCGTCGCCGCGGGCGCACGCCGCGCCCAGCCCGTCCAGCGACGGCTCCGCCAGGAGCTTGTAGACGCGGTCCTCCGCGACGACGACGGAGACGCGCCGCGCGGCGCAGAACTCCGCGAGGTCGCCGCGGCCGTGGAAGCGCCAGCGGAGCCGCGCGCCGAGGTCCGCGAGCGGCGGCGCAGCCTCGAGCGCCCGGCCGAGGCGGTCCGGGTCCGCCGGCGGCGCCGCGCGCGCGCGCGGCGCGGCGACGTAGTCCGCGACGGGCCCGCGCGCGCCGGGCCGCGCGGCCTCGGAGCAGCGCCGCACGAACGCGGCGACGTCCGCGCCGCAGCCCAGCGCCGCGAGGTCGGCCACGCCGAGCTTCCGGGCGAGGCGCGCGGCATCGAGGTCGCCCCCGAGCGCGTCCGCCGCGGCCGCGACGCGCTCGGCGACGCGCGTCGGCGCCGGGCCGCCGCCGCCCGCGCCGGCGACGACGGCCCGGACGCCCGCGCGGTCGGCGAGGCCGGAGAGCCAGAGCGCGAAGCCGCCCGGCGCCCAGGCGCGCGGGGCCGCCGTCGACACGGCCGCCTCGACCGCGGCGAGCGCGTCGAGCCCGGAGAGGCCGCGCGAGAGCGCGCGCTCGCAGGCCTCGTCCAGCGCTGAGACCGCGGTGGAGCCGTCGTCCGCGCCGCCGTCGCCGTCGCCGTCGTCGTCGCCGTCGTCGGGGACGCCGGCCGCGACGCCCCCCGCCGCCGCCGCGAAGCGCGCCGCGAGGGGGGCGACGGCGTCCGCGTTGCGCGAGGCAAACGCGAGAAAAGAGCCGCGCTGGAGCGCCTCGAAGGACGGGATCCGGAGCCGCTCGGCCGCCGCGCGCTCCGCGGCCGCGAGCGCGTCGAAAACCGTGCCCTCGGCGTCGAGGGCCCGCGCCGCCTCGCGGACCTCGTTCGCGACGTCGTGGTCCGTGAGTCCCTGCGCCTCGGCGACGGCGAGGCGCGTCGCCTCGACGTCGATTTCGCCGAGCGTGACGACGTAACACGCCGCGAGCTCGGCCGCGACCGAGAGTTTCTTCTTGGCGTTCTTCGCCGCGACCACCGCCGACGCGATCTTCCCGGCGACTTTGCCGAACGGCTCCGTCGCGCCGAGGCCCCCGTATTCGACGACCGCGAGCCGCGCGGCGTCCGAGAGCTGCGCGCCGAGGCGCGCCGCGGAACTCCCCGCCTCGACCTTGGCGCCCAGCGCCGCCCGCCACTCGTCGCGGCGCGCGTCGCGGAGCTGCTTGAGCGCGGCGACGCGCGAGTCCTTCTCGTCACGCGCTGCTTGCGAGGCGTACTTGATCGTGGTGCCGATCGCGTACTTGCTCATCGTCAGGCACAGCGACCGCGGGCTCGCGACGCCGCGCTTCGCGGCGAGCCAGTTCAGGAACTCCTCGAGGTCGACCCTCCGTTTCTTGAATCGGAACTTCTCGAGCTCGCGCACCACGTCGGCGACCTCGAGCGCCGGCACGGCCGTCAGCGCCTCGTCGGCGTAGAACTTCCTCTGCACGAGCGGCTGCTTGAGGATCGGGCCCAGGCGGAGATCTTCGAACGCGCGCACGCCGTGCGCCGCGCAGAGATTGTGGCTCAGGTCGTGGAGCGTCGCGATGAAGCGGCTCTCGACGAAGGCGCAGATTTGGATCTCCAAGAGCCCCTCGAGCTGGCGCAGACTCCGCAGCTCGTCCACCGCGGCCACGGAGAGGCCGAGGTCGCGGAGGGACCGCACGCCGTGGGCCGAGCAGACATCGTCCACGAGCTCGAGCAGCCGCACGCGCTCGCCCCGCTCGCACGCGCGGTTCCGTAGCTTCTTTGCGATGCGCGATACCGCCGCCGCGTCCGCGCGCTGCGCCGGATCGACCGGAGCGCCGTGCGCCGCGGCGCCGCGCCAAATCGTCCCGCCGCGCTGCGCCGGATCGACCGGAGCGGAGGGGGCGGGGGGGCGCCAAATCGTCCCGCCGCGCGAGCCGCGACCGCCGCGACCATGTCCGCGGCCGCGGCCGCCACCTTTTCCGCGATCCATACTGCTATCGAAAACGTCTCAGGCAGCTAAGGACCCATGGCGGCCATGCTCTCTCGATCCTCCCGGACTCGCGGCTAAAATTTCCCCGCACACCCGGCTTCACCCTCGGCCCGCCGGGCGTAGGAGGACTCGCAAGGCGTCTCGCAGGCGCCATGTCAGCGACCGGACATTACCCCTC